AATGCGAAATTGAAAGAATTTTGTTTTTTAAAACAAATGTTCACACCCAAATTGATAATTGACCATATGATATTAGAATGTGTTAATGAATATAAAAAAAAATATTTATATACTAACATAATTACTTACCAATACATGCTATACATGATATAAATACAAAACATAGGAAAATAGCATAAGAAAATCAAAAAAAACCAAACTAGCGCGTCCAACCCTAGTGAAGATAAAAACGGAGTTAGGGTCTTAGAAGCAATTTCGTTTGATCAGAAACAAAAAAAAAAAAGAAGCAATTTCGTTAGGTAGGAATGGCGAACGAGACTAACACCGATCAAGCATTCGCTGGAGTACGATCGGGGACGATGTCTGATCTGGATCTTCTCGACTGTCCCGTTTGCTGTGGAGCACTGACTATTCCTATCTTTCAGGTCTTGTTTCTTACCTCTTTCTACTTAAACGTTGCTATTAGTTGAAGCAAATGAAGCGTCGTCATTTACTATCACATGTGTATGAGGAACCCTAGCTTTTGTTGATCTGAGAATTTCAGGATAACTGTGTTTAGCTAGAAATCCATGCCTTACAAATGTTTATGTTTTTCGTTACAGCAAATCACTGAAATGTACCCTACCATGATTCGTAAACCTTTCCTTTTGATCGAATAGCATACGAGTCCTGTGAAAACATAATGGATGATTAATGTCCTTGCCGGAAACATGTGATTTCTATTATTTGGTTATAGTTTCATTGACTTGAAATCTGATTTCTCAAATTTAATCTTCACTGCCACACTTGTTGACTTTATATGTTCCGCAATGCATTGCTATGTTTCTTTTCTCCTGATTACTCGTTACAACTTTGGTAACAATAACTAATTTTGTGTTTTTTGCATCTCAGTGTGACAATGGACACATAGTGTGACCATACCAATGCCGCATGGCTACGCATAAGTGAGAAGATTTTAGTCCTTCAGCAATCTCCAGATGGTCCATTGGTTGTAATTCAGTGTTTCAGAGAGCGTAAAGGAGTGAATGTGACTGTGAACTGTATAGCACCTTGTGCTCCAGGAGTTGGGAAGTTCTCTTATCTTCTCTCCTTCTCGAATGGAGGTAAAACTTTGTCGTTTGAATTACCAGAGATGAATAGGATTCAGAAAGTGAGCTTTGAAGCTCCTGAGGAGTACAACATGTTTGTTCCTGACTCTTTGTTGGGTCAGCGGGATTTGAAGATGAAAATTCGCATCCGCCGGAT